TGTAGCGTGAGGTCTCCGAAATGTCAAATGTTATTGCTTGTTGGTTGACTACGCGGGTTTATTTCTAATTAAAATAATGTTGTGAATAATTGGTAACAATTCGGCTTAATTATGGCAAATATGACTTATGTGGCAATGAATGTCAGTTATTAAAAATTTGAGCTTAGAAAAATGATTATGTTCCCATTTTTTCCGAATAAAACGGAACTGCGCGTCACTGTGGCATGGCCTATTATGTTTAGGATATGGTTCTTTTGTGTTAAAATACGATCTAAATGTAACCTTTGATTTCATGTGCGTATTAATAAACTTTAAAAGTTACAATTAAGGACCTCACTCAACAGTGGCGCCATCTGGTGAGGCAGAAAACGGTAGCCCTCATTCCGCACGATTGTCATAGGTACAATGTTTTTCCACACATTTGCGAGACAATAGCATCTATACATAATTAAAGTACCTATTGAAGTAAACTTTTTGCAAACAGCAAACAAACACAGAAAGAGGTTAGAAGAGCCTTGTGGGCGAGCCAGGCGCGCCACAGTTATGTGTGAGCAAATGCTCATAACTTGACCAAAACTTGGTTCTGTCCCCGTAGCATGAGCAGTTTTCATGCAGCAATTTACACGATATCCCGTTTTTTATCGCGTTTAACTGTCAAACTCCATAGTCATTTGACAATTAAGCGTAATAAAAAGGAGCTGTATATCATATCACAGTGCCCATGCTAGGGGGCCTGATTGCGTCGTTGCTCTCGGGTGTGAGCGCCGATTGGTTCGATTGTTTCATGTCGCGTCGTTTGATTGGCTAATTATCTATTACGTGCAAGTGTAGTGGGGGTGAGCCAGCGACATCGGTTCCCGTACAAAAGGTCTATGAATACCCTTCTAACCTTTCTGTCTTCTGTGGTCAGGTAGATAATAAAAAAGTATTGGACACGTATTTTTTCTTTTTTCACAAGATCAGAGCATATCACTACATAGTATAAAACAAAGTCGCTTTCTCTGTCCCTATGTCCCTTTGTATGCTTAAATCTTTGAAACTACGCAACGGACAACTTTTTAAATAGATACAGTGATTCAAGAGGAAGGTTTATATGTATAATACATGCATAATATAGTAGAGAAACACTGATAATTTTAGAGGTTTTTAATGTAAGGTCGTAAATAAACACATTTTTTGAGCTTACATTGCAAACGCTGGCTGAACCCCACGAGATAGATCAAAATAATGTACTACAGTATTGTACACCTTAAAAAGGTCTACAAAAAAGTCAGCGATGGTATATGGATAACCCACAATAACCAATTTTTATCCTATACTTTTTACGAGAAATAATAGATTATTTACGAAGCTATTTTAAGCAATATAACATTCATCCTTATCCAATTAAGTACCTTAAATACATTGTGCATTTAATATAGAACAATTTGGCCCTTTAACGCATATAATTTAAATGAATATACACTACAGTTAAACAACTATAGTCTACACTACAGTTTTACACCGAAGCGAAGCGAGGGCGGGCCACTAGTTAGAGATATATTGATTTGAAATGTCCCAAAAGTCACGTCTTGGTACAATTTTTACTTAGAAGTGACGTCACGTGGCCCCACTCCCGAACTATGGCGCACTATGAAATACAATAAGTGTCCATTATTACTTGATAATCTAATTGACCCCCCCCCCCCCCCCCCCCATATTACTTATGAAGAATAAGCTTGGATTAGTTACTCCATGTTTTATCTCTATTCATCATCATCATCAACAGCCCATCTTAATCCACTGCTGGCCACAGGCCTCTCCAATTGCACGCCACTCAGATCGATCTTGGGCTACTCGCATCCAGCTCCTGCCAGCCACCTTGCGCAAATCGTCACTCCATCGTGCCTGAGGACGTCCCACACTACGTTTGCCTAGACGCGGTCTCCACTCCACAACTCGTCTACCCCAACCAGTGCCGTCTTTGACCTATTGGAGGCCGTGGACATATTAGGATAATGGGGCCCCTATGACCCCCGTTTGGTGATTTAACAGGAACTAGGGACTTTGTATTTGATCTGAGGGGGGGCGGGGGGGGGGGCTGGGCACTTGCCCAAAGAGCCCATTGGGAAAGACGGGTCTGACCCCAACGGTTATCGGTTCTTCGGCAAATATGGCCAGCCCACTGCCACTTCAACTTGCTAATCAGGTGGGCTATGTCGATAACTCTGGTTCTCTGTCGGATTACCTCATTTCTGATGCGATCCTTCAGAGAAACGCCGAGCATAAATAAATAAATATTTCCAACACTCACACCAATTAGCCTAGCCCCAAAGTAAGCACTGTAAGGCTTGTGTTATGGGATGCTAGGGTAACGGATAGAATACACATACTGTACATATATAAGTATATTTATATAGAAATACATATTTAAACATCCATGACTGGAGTACAAATGCTCGTATTCATCACACAAACATCTGCCCCCACCGGGATTCGAACCCGGGACCTCTCGAGTCGGCGACATCATGAAACCCGGCGTACAAACCACTCGACCACGGAGGTCGTCGCATAGCCCTTACCATAGCGCGCTGAGCGACTTTGAACCTTATTAACCGTATGTCATCACAGGTAGGACGACAATCTCTATACATTGTATGTCAAATGGCATTTGGAACTAAAAACGGCGTAATTTAAAGATAGAGTAAGGGGCCGTCCATATATTACGTCATTCTAAATTAGGGGGGGGGGGGTCTGCGGATGACGGTAAATGATAGATAGGGGGGGGGGGGTGTTTCGAAATTGACGTCATTCTTATTTATTTATTTATAGTTTATTGTTCACGTACAAAAAGATTATTTCTAAAAAGAAATTTCTTCCAGCACACCTAGTAAGTGAGACTGCAAATGTGAGCAACAATACTAAAATAACTCATAATAGACATACATAATGCAGCATAGATTTACACAAATACAGTAATAACTACAGATAAAATACTCTAACAATAATATTACATATAATACTAGCTTTTCTCAAATCTGCAATGTTTTAATTTTGTCAAACTGGTAATGACGTCAATTTTGGGAGAAGGGGGGGGGGGGGTCATTAATAAATTAGGATAGGATGATTGTAGGGGGGGGGGGGTCTAAAATCTGACAAAATCCATGACGTAATTTATGGACGGCCCCTAAGGAGCTTTAGAAGAAAAACAAAACACACATTCGATTATATGTCTTTATTTAAGCATTAATTTGCTAGATTTTTAATTTACATCGACAAAAAATATTTTTTCCCTTAAAAAAATTAACTCAATTTTTCTAGGGAAAAAAATACTTTTTAAATAAGTAGTATAAAAAAAATGTTTTCAACCTTTAATCTCGTTTGATGCGTAATACGGAATGGTGGTTCCACTTTTACATAAGTACTTACAGTTACATCAGCAAATAAATAATATACAATACATATACAAACATACAAATATATCTCTCTCATCATACCATCTCGTTATGTAGCTTTTTGTTATGCAAAATTATTCACTCTATCACTATTTTCAACTTTACTTATATAGAAATAAGGTATAAAATTACACATGTGTCGTTAATTAACTCTTAATCTTATAAATAACATAATATAAACAAAAACGATAAGAAAATGCACTTTATTCGCCGTTTTTAAAGTGAAACTACTTTAGGCACGCTTGACTTGGGGGGGAAACTGGCGAAAGCGTTACGCGTTACGAAAAGTGTGTTCAGGCGAGGCGAACGGGAGTTGAGTGGGGGATATAAGCAAGAGAAAGCAGTGTGCGCGCACATTCTCTTTCTGTTTTTCTCTTATAGCTAGTAAATGAAATATGTATATGTACATACATGTATATATTCTAAACACACACACGCATTATATATATATATATATATACATACAGATGGAGTACTCTTTTTTTTATTTAATAATCTCATTAAAATGCGTTTAGATGACAATGAAAAAACTTGATATTGTAAATGTTGGTCAATCTATATATATAAAACTCAAAGATGACTGACTGACTGACATAGTGATCTATCAACGCACAGCCCAAACCACTGGACGGATCGGGCTGAAATTTGGCATGCAGGTAGATGGTATGACGTAGGCATCCGCTAAGAAAGGATTTTGATCAATTGTACCCCCAAGGGGATAAAATAGGGAATGAAAGTTTGTATGAAACTTTGTCAATTTTAAATCGATCGGGCCGAGACTTTGCATGCAGGTATAAGAAGAATCATAGATGAATGTCATTGTGTATAATAACAAAAACTGTGGTCTAGACTTCAGCTCTACACCGAAGCGAAGCGAGGGCGGGCCGCTAGTAAATTAATATTTGTTTAGATCAAGTCATCAAATATATGAACCGCGAACGACGCAAGATATTCTATCCCACTCGCACGGGCTGTCCTAAGTGACGTGCGAAAGAGACAGAATATCTTGCGTCGGCAATTTCAATTCCTTTCTTTAATGATACGAGTTATACGAGCATACATAATATAATATTACTGACAGAAAAAACAATTTAATTAAAAACAATATCTCACTTAATAATAAAAAAAAAGTACAATAATTTTTATTTTAAGCATTCAAATGTTATGTGTTTAAATCTCTTTTTTTTTAATTTGAACATGGTAACATTGTGGGTTACCTACAAAGCGAAGAGATGGCGCTGCCTTGCAGCCTAAAAATACTAGAGGAAATTCGATACGGCCACTAAGGTTGTCGAAATTGGTAGCATAATTGGTCAGTGCAACCGCCCGGATAGCGGAAGGTGTGGGTTCGAGTCCCGTCTGCTGCATGGATATTTTCCTGGTATAATTTTCTTTAGATTTCAACACAACACTTGTTACATCAAAAGCAAACCCTGTCAAAACTCATACAAAAAAGCATTCAAACAATTTCACATCTTATTTATATAGGAGTAAAGTTGACAATCTTTCCAACCACATCGCCTATTAGCTATACAAGGTTCGCCCTTATGTCTTCAGGCATAAGGTCTAGAATGTCTTCCTGTGGACAGCGCGATGCCCTTCCTCGTCGTATTCCCGTTTGGATACCCACATCTTCCGGAAGGTGTCGAGCGAGGCGAGAATCGAACCCCCGATCCATGTGGAGTAGAGACGCTCTTGGGGCGCTGAGATCTGTACACAGAGATAAAATAGGGATGATGACTAATTTTTTTTTCTTCGTTTATCAGGTAGATTATCAAAAACTATTGGACACGTATTTTTTCTTTTTTCACATAATATAAACATTGCAGAAATATATTGATTTGAAAAGTCGCATGACGTCACGTTTGAGTACACTTATAGGGGAAAATTCACTCAAAAGTGACGTCACGAGCGCCTACTCCCAAACTTTGACGCGCTATAACTTTGTCATTTTTTGGTTGATTGCCCAAAGAAAAAATACGTGTCCATTATTTTTTGATCATCTAACTGACGGACTTAATAGATTTTCGTTTACTGTACCCCGTCATCACCCCTATTACATTAAGTTCAAAGATAATTTTATTTCCCATAAAGACATACAGTCCACTTAAAATGAGAATATAGAAATAACATGCAGTTGTTTATTACTTATTGCTCCTTTTGGAACATCGGATATCTTTATATATATAATTCTTCTGTGAGTGTGTATGTCACTGAACTTCTCTTAAGCGACTGGACCGATTTTGATGAAATTTTTTGTGTGTGTTCAAGGGGATCTGAGAATGGTTTAGATTCACAATTTTGTCCGCTGGACAACCTCTATTTTTTTAGGGCGGTACGAAGTTCGCTGGGTCAGCTAGTTTCAGTTACAAAATTGATACTAATACTTAAGTTCAACACCCTTAAAAAGTTATCTTTCTTGTAAGTCATAAAACTTAATTGTTGAAAGCCCAGTGTTAACAATAGTAAGTTATTTGATCTTATGAGCATTCACAATGTTATTCTTATGTAAATAACAAAACAATAATATATAATACTAGCGGACCCGACAGACGATGTCCTGTCTACACGTCTTTAATTTGAAAATTTCAAACTTTTTTTAATAAGCTAAAACATTCTGGACCATTTTGATGAAAATTATTATTCGAATGTTATGACAATATCTAACGTCATTACATGTAAATTTATTACAATTAGACTAATCGATAGCGTGTGAGTATGTGTAACAAAAAAAAAACATTTTTAGGGTTCCGTACCTCAAAAGGAAAAAACGGAACCCTTATAGGATCACTTTGTTGTCCGTCTGTCCGTCCGTCCGTCTGTCAAGACCGTTTTTCTCAGGAACGCGTGCAGGTATCAAACTGAAATTCATACCTTATACTCAGGTCTACTGTCCCTTGGAGCTGTGAAAAAATCAAACTTCTAAGCCAAAGCAATCAAAAGATACAGCCGTTTATGCCGCAAATTTTCGAAACTCGCACTAGAATCAAAACCTACAGGGTACTTCCCGTCAACTTAGAATCTTGAAATTTGGTACGAAGTAACGTCTTATAGTACAGATAAAGGAAAAATTGCGAAAACCGTAAATTTTTAGTTACATCATAAAATAAAAAATATTTTTGAATATTTTTGTACGGAACCCTCGGTACGCGAGTCCGACTCGCACTTGGCCGGTTTTTTTAATTTGATCGCAGCGCTAACTGTCGGGACAGACTTGATAAAATGTGGTCACGCAGTTGTTGACACATAACTGCTAGATGGCGCTTTTATAGAAAGCTTACATCGCGCCATAGACCCTTAAGGTGCAACGGTGCGCGTTCCCAATAGCACTTTGCCGCTAGATGGAGCTAGGGGCGTAAAATCGGTTTTTTATTTTGTAAAACCTTTTAAAATTGAATCTTATTTAATACTAGCTTTTGCCCGCGACTTCGTCTGCGTGTAATTCGAATAAAAGCAAGGTCTTTATGTATCAATAACTGGTGCCCGCGACTTCGTGTGCGCAGTATTAGTATTTCGAGTAGCTTATATTAGCGTGAAAAGAACTAACATTATGACATTAAAATTATAACATACATAATTTTTGGGTCGTATTTGAAAAATATAACAGTCTGACAATATTGAGATGTTACATTCGCACCTATTAAAATATTTGTCCAAATGATGTATTGTGAAGGACAAAATTTATCTCCTTTAAATACCAAAAGCGATAAAAGTATTCATTTTGATAAGGATCCATTTATTACTACCAAATGTGCATTAGAAATAAATTATCAATTTTTATTGTATTTATGGTTCACTATTTTGACAATAATGGCTTACTCATAAAAGATAGATATATATGGTGTCGCAGAATTTTTTGTAGGACTATTTAAGATAAATATTTTCACCATACATTATATACATGTAGCACTAACTGTTTTTGCAGCACACGCCTGAATAGCTCGCAGATTGCAGAATTTTTTCAGACTTAAATGACATTTATCGTTATATTTTGGACAATTCACACAATATCTTTATAAATTATAGCCTATGTGTTATTCTGATCTATAAGCTACATTACTGTAAAGTGTCATTAAAATCCGTTTAGTAGTTTTTGCGTGAAAGAGGAACAAACATCCATCCATACATCCATCCAAACAAACTTTCGCCTTTATAATATTAGTAAGGAAGTAAGGATTTGACACTGCGATGGTAGCGCCGTCTGTCGGATCCAATGTAAAACATTCCAAAATCAACAACTACTAATAAATTAAAAATTAATTAAAAAAACATTGTCCAGCGGACAAAATTGTGAATCTAAACCATTCTCAGATCCCCTTGAACACACACAAAAAATTTCATCAAAATCGGTCCAGTCGTTTAAGAGAAGTTCAATGACATACACACTCACAGAAGAATTATATATATAAAGATTATTAAAAAATATAAATAAAACTAAATCGACTCGATTATTCCTTAGGCGGAAGTGACTAATACTAGCAAGAGGATACCACAAATACCTATGTCTCAATCAACCTATTAATGTCCCTACTGGTGGGGCACAGGCCTTCCCTATGGATGGAATAGGGAGTGCGGGCCATGACCCACCACGCGGGCCCAGTGCGGATTGGCGGGTGCCAACGACTGCAGATGCAGACGGAACCGATAAATTTGATTAAAATCAGTTTAGTAATTTAGGAGTCCATCCCAGACAAAAAATTCCACGCTGACCAGGCAGCAAACGGGACTCGAACCCGCACCCTCCCCTATCCGGGCGAAAGCACTGACCATTATGCTACCGCGGCCCTGATGGCAGTGTCGAATTATTTCTAGCCGTTCTTAATATGAATATAATGGTATTTTTGATTTAGTTTTTTTTACTGAAATACCCAACAACGAAAGAGGAGCTCGATGGCGCAAGTGGTTAGCGCGTTCGGCTACGATAGTTGAAGTTAAGCAACTTTCGCAGTGGTCGGTCATTGGATGGGTGACCAAAAATTTACTATCTCGAGTTCCTCCGTGCTTCGGAAGGCACATTAAACCGTTGGTCCCGGCTGCATCTGCATTCGTTAGCACCCGCCAATCCGCACTGGGCCCGCGTGGTGGGTCATGGCCCAATCTCCCTATTCCATCCATAGGGAAGGCCTGTGCCCCAGCAGTGGGGACACTAATAGGCTGATGATGATGACCCAACAACGGATAATGAATATCCATTTTCCATGGACTCCATAAACCTTAGTTAATAAAGTGAGATCCTTTTCCAAAACTTGTCAAATTCCCTATTCTTCTATGGAAACTGTGTCAATATCCCTTAAAACCTTAACTGTGTCAACAAAAAACCGTTTGACTCACCCTAATCTTCATATCCTTGGGTGCTAACCGGCGTATCTCAGCCAGGAGTCGATCCCCGAATCCCCGGAACAGCGTGGAGCCGCCACTCAGCACTATGTTCTGGTACAACACTTTACGGAGATCCATGTCGGATTTCTGTATCGCGAACATTAGCACTTCGTGGAGACCTGGTAAAATTCATAAATAAACTAGCAAACCCGGCGAACTCCGTTTCGCCATCAGATGGCTTCGTTTTATGTAACATTTCGTTTGGTGATTAAAAGAAGATTTTTTTTTTTGAAACTTTTCCTGAATTTTCTTTGCTATAATCCTCACGGAGCCCGAGACCTTTCCAACGAATGCAAAACCGTGGAAATCGGTTCGTGCGTTCTGGAGTTATAGCGTCAGGAAGGAAAACCCGACTTATTTTTATATAGTAGACTAGCAAACCCCGCGAACTCCGTTTCGCCACCAGATGGCTTCGTTTTATGTAACATTTCGTTTGGTGATTAAAGGAGGTTTTTTTTTTAATTTTTCCTGAATTTTCTATGCTATAAACCTCACGGAGCCCGAGACCTTTCCAAAGAATGCAAAACCGTGGAAATCGGTTCGTGCGTTCTGGAGTTATAGCGTCAGGAAGGAAAACCCGACTTATTTTTATATAGTAGATTAATAATTGCCACACTCACACCGATTAGTCCAGCCCCAAAGTGAGCACTGTAAGCGACGATATGAAATACCCTAGATACACCACGTGCGCTCAAAATGTGTCCCAATCGAGAAGTGCTTGAACGCGACTCGAGCACTTCTCGGTTCACAGTCACGCGTTGACCGCTGGACCGTTGAAAAGTCAACACGCCGCTGAGATCCGTGAAATCAGGCGAAAGAAATACTTATAGTACGTAAAGTGTCCTTTTTTCGACAGGTAGCTAATAAATGTTAGTTACTTTAACGCACTTGGTGCAAATTTTGTTCCAATACTTACTATAAACTGATTCAGTAGAAAATATTTGTGATATTCAAATGCATGGCCGGAAATATAGCCGTCTCTTTTCCTCTCGGTCCGTACCTGCTATATTGCTAACAGCGCATTCAGAATTGCGCATAGAGTCAAAGAAATAAGGTCTATATTATTCCGCTTATAGCAATAAGTCGTAAAATTTTACGAGCTTATATTATGAACTGTCATAACTCTTTAACGTATGCGTTTTAATTGAGACCTTATACGGTATCCATTAAAGGTGACTTTCAATATTTAAATAATGCCTTATATTGTTTTTGACTACACGATCATCTTACGGAGCTCCATGGGTCGTCCAATGTACCTTTAGGACAAGTTTCGGCCACGATTTTGTTTGTGATGTTGTATCTAGGGTATTTAATATCGTTTACTGTAAGGCTTGTGTTATGAGATACTAGGGTAACGGATAGAATACATATATTGTACATATATAAGTATATTTATATAGAAATACATATTGAACATCCATGTTCATAAACATGTTCTGGAGTACAAATGCTCGTATTCATCACACAAACATCTGCCCCCACCGGGATTCGAACCCGGGACCTCCCGAGTTGGCGACACCACGAAACCTGGCGTACTGTATCTATAGAGGATAAACTGTTGTCAAATTTAAGTTAAGGTTTAGAAAATCATGCCAGAATCGAAACCAACTTATAAAAAAAAATGAAATTATTAATTAAATTATTTAGTAACATCTGAAATTCGTATTCTAATTTACTAACATAATGGTGTTGATTCTGACATGATTCTCTAAAGCTAAACTTAAATTTGACAGCAGTATATCCTTGTTATTCTCTATACAAAATGAAAAGGAGAGACTGATGTTAAATTTAGTTTTAAGTTTAGAGAATGACGCCAGAATTGGCACCATTGTCTAAGTAAAATTGATACCAACTAACTATGGACATCCCGTTAGATTGAAAAACAATTTAAATCCCGTTTAAACAATCTTATGAAAGTTAATAAATTTACTATTAAATCGATAAACTAACGGAATGTATACTATTCTATGTATTATATTCCGGTGACATATACATACCTTCGCATTCTTCACCGATGAGATCAGGTCTGAACAGTACTTCTGGTGCTCTGAACCGCGCCGGACCAATCTACACACAAACGAACATAAATCATCATCATCAGCCTATTAACGTCCCCACTGCTGGGGCACAGGCCTTCCCTATGGATGGAATAGGGAGATTGGGTCATGACCCACCACGCGGGCCCAGTGCGGATTGGCGGGTGCTAACGACTGCAGATGCAGCCGGGACCAACCGCTTAATGTGCCTTCTGAAGCACGGAGGAATAAGAGATAGAAGATTTTTGGTCACTCATCCAATGACGACCCTTGAGTCCGAGTGGTTTGTACGCCGGGTTTCATGGTGTCACCGACTCGAGAGGGCCCGGGTTTAAATCCAGGTGGGGGCAGATATTTGTGTGATGAATACGAGCATTGGTACTCCAGTCGTGGATGTTTAATATGTATTTCTATATAAATATACTTGTGTAATCCAAAATTAAATAAATAAGTGGGGCATGTAGACGTAGATGTCGCCGCCACATAAACATCTAGCAGTTAAATTCTTAAAATAATAAAAAGAAATGATGTGGTGTCGTGGGACACCAGGTAGGAACGAAGTTCCTTCGGCTAATGTAGAATCGACACTAATTGCAAACTCGCTTGTGTATGCGACTGTCGCGCCTGCGCACGTCTCATTTAATGCTATAGCTATAGAAACGCTACAGCGTTTCTTTGTATTTTATTATTATAGGAACAATGGTATTGGTTCTACATCTTCTATATCTCTTGGCAAGTTATTTATAATAGTACATTATGATATAAGTGCGGTAAGTTAAGAATTACAGCCGAGGCGATATTGTTTATTCAAAATTCAAACTCATTTATTCAGTGTAGGCTGTTACAAGGTCTTGTGAAAGTCAAACGCTACGCCATCGGTTTGTAAATCTACGGCGGGAGACCTTGTACTGAGAAGAACCGGCAAGAAACTCAGCAAGGGCTGTTTTTTCTCCCTGTTTTGTTTCATACAGTGTCATACATGTGTTGATGTCAACTTCCATCACATTAATATTATTAATTAACAAAAGTTAAGTATAACTAGGTACTATTTTTAAATTTAGAAGTGGCGATTAAACATTTTCAACCAAATTAGCAAAGTAAAACGACAGTCTATTATGTTAAGCCCAAGGTGACTTATCATTTATGAAACCTTTAACAGCATAGTAACCTTTCTTAAGGAGACATGTTTTTATACACACTTTAAACTTATTAAAAGGTAAATGAATTATTTCTTTTGGTATTTTATTATAGTAACATATACCTTGACCCACAAATGAACCAAGAACCTTTTGGAGTCTCAATGGTGGCAATTTGATATTGTATTGCTGTAAGAAGGCAGAGGCTGTAATTATCAAACCGCACGTATGTCATACGACGTTTTATAACACATTTGCGAGGAAATAATACTACCTACGTACGTACGTACTTTCTGAAAATGAATTTGCACCTTTATTTTCCATAAGATGAAATTCCGTCCGTTTGATCCGTGGATTTTTCGGGCAAGAGGCTTAGCGTAGCCTTTTTCGACTTCTGGCGGTGTTGAATTAATAAATTCGTAACTACTTGACAATATTTTCAAATAAAAACAATACAGCGAGAAGAAAAATAAATAACTTTTTCACAGATTAGCGATGCGCGCGCATCAACGCCTTTTTTAGGCAAAAGAACAAAAAACAGCCAGTGTTACTAATAAAGTAAATTAATATTTTTGTGAATTTGTTACCGATACATGGTTGTAATTTATTGTCAAAATGAATCAAATTAAAGAATTTAATGTTTATATATTATGTTTTATCTCCTAAAGTTAATTTTATTAAGAAAATGTTGGTTACCTTTCTGGCATAAAAACTCTTTGCTAAGATTGTAAAAGTATCGTTCGTTTTTAGACGGAACATGATAAGCCGTGCGTTTTACTTTACATTACCGCACGCGTGTGTAATGTGATAGATTATGATATTGAAATTGGTGCAATAAGGGACGCTTTACGAGCAAATGTGTTACATAATGCGATTCAACTAAGAATAGGACCGACGCGGCGCCCTATTTTGTCGTCATAGCTGTCATTTCAAACGAAAAAGGTAGAGTGAGCAAAAAAGTTTTAATTTAATAAAAGTTATTTACTTATATTAAGTGAGAAAAAGCATCCGATTTTTTAATAAAAATTATTTACTAAAATTGAGAAAAGAAAATAACCGATTTTTAATATTTATTTATTAAGACTGTGCGAGAAAAAACATTAATCAGAATTAAGCTCTTCAATTCCGCTCATCTCGGCATTACCGCCGGAGTAGTTATGAATAATCACGCACTATTACTAGGTCACATACGAACATGCATCCTTTATGTAAACGAAAGTTATAAATCGAGTTTCTGAACGCAACTTAAAGCGACATTTGGTTGACGATTTAGGTTATCAACCATTCATGGCCAAAGCTTAATAAATGAAAATAAAATATCAATCAATATTAATTAACAATATTTGTTATTGTTTGTTTACAAACGTTTGGTTGTTATTCTAGAATCAGCCGAGTGCTAAAAAAGGGTTCCAAGATTTTTTTGCAAGTCGTACTTTTCAAGAGACATTCGACAGATGGAGGTCATTGGCTATTCTTATTTGAATCGTATTATAAATATAATAGCAAACCAGTGAACCAAATGTTCACCAAAACCTGATTTAAAAAAATGGGTGCGTGTACTTATGTAGGCGCGTGAGAAGTTATCCTTCTTTGGCATCGTTTAAAATTAGTTTTTAATTGCATGCAAATAATTAATTACAATAAATTAATAAAAAGTCTGGAAAAGGACACAGTCAATAAAGTTCAGTTTTAATTTGAAAAAATAAATAAATAATCAAAATATTCAATTAAAATCGCTACTGAATATAATTTATTAGAACATATGTGATTTGCACTTGTAGGAAACTCAAACACGTATTCCGAATATACAAACTAGAAACATGTGGATAAATATTATAAATATGAATACCTATAACTGTTACTTTATTACAAAAAATAAAGATGTGGTTTTTGGTTCTACTACACCAATGGTCAAGAGATGGCGCTGTAGTCTCCTGAATCGCGCTTTGGTTCCGTTGTTCCAGATTAATAAATACTTTTGATAGGCCTTCACAATGCAGTCGTTGGCACCCACTAAATAGAGATTCTATTTCTATTTTGTTGGTAGATTTTCTTAATGTGCGGTAAACACAAAAGTTAAAATTTTGTGTTACAGTGATGCGCGCGCATCTTAAAATTTCACTCTCATCATTTTTTCATAACGCGCCTAAAGAAGTATAACTTCAAAAAAAAAATGTATTTAATTAATTGAGAACTTCGGAGATTTTGTGTGGTTTCGTTTGAAATTCGTGATTTCTCGAAAACCGGAAGTGCTACGTTACTCAAATCCGGTTTGTAGTCTTATCAGACTATCCTTAACTTATAACTTAAACATTCTCTTTATCTATCTCTTACGGTTTGGCCGCTGAAACAGCACCACAGACAGACGGACGGACAAACGGACTTGTCTAATAGATAAGAGATTTACCTCCAGCTGTGTCCCATCCGGTAGAGTGTAGTGTGCTCGTTCTGTGTCCAAGGTTTCCTCCTTCAAGGGGTTGGGTGATAAGTAGCAAGCCCTCTCCTTGATCGCTTTAACTATCTCCAGTTCCGCCGACGTGCGAAGATTCACTCCTTCCTTGCGTAGGAGCAACCTGGTTTGAAATAAAAACTAAATCTGTAATCGTAATCTGTATTACTGAGGACCTCGATGGCACAAGTGGTTAGCGCGTTCGGCTGCGATCGTTGAAGTTAAGCAACTTTCGCAGTGGTCGGTCATTGGATGGGTGACCAAAAATTACTATCTCGAGCTCCTCCGTACTTCGGAAGGCACGTTAAGCTGTTGGTCCCGGCTGCATCTGCAGTCGTTAGCACCCGCCAATCCGCACTGGGCCCGCGTGGTGGGTCATGGCCCACTCTCCCTATTCCATCCATAGAGAAGGCCTGTGCCCCAGCAGTGGGGACATTAATAGGCTGATGATGATGATGAGGAATCTGTATTATATAATGTTGACGACCTCCGTGGTCGACCGGTTTGTACGCCGGGTTTCATGGTGTCGCCGACTCGAGAGGTCCCGGGTTCGAATCCCGGTGGGGTTCGAATTCAGTTGTTTGTGTGATGAATAAGAGCATTTGTACTCCAGTCATGAATGTTTAATATGTATTTAGATATAAAAATACTTATATATGTATTCTATCCGTTACCCTAGCATCCCATAACACAAGCCTTACAGTGCTTACTTTGGGGCTAGGCTAATACGGGTGAGTGTTGGAAATATTTATTTATTTATCTTTCAATTTGGATCAAACTGCACACGGTGTACAAATTTCATTAGAATCGGTTCAGTAGTTTTGAAGCTCATCCCGGAAAAACAATGTGACGCGTAATTTATATACAGGGTGTTACAAAAATACAAATAAAGTTTGAAGGGCGTTGAAGAACATCATGTAAGGAGTCTTTTCTAATTTTCTTAAAATATTTGCAAGAAGTTTGAACTTTTTATAAAAACAGTTATTTTTAATGATTAATAAAAATATCGATCATTTTAAGACACGTCACTAGTTCGGGGCCATGCACCTGGTAAGGTGTAATAAATCTGCTGTAATAAAGAAAATTAGAGAAGATTCCTTATATGATGTACTTCAACGCCCTTCAAGATTTATTTGTATTTTTGTAACACCCTGTATATATGTATAGTAAGATTTTGAAATTAATAATATTACGTTCGGTTATATTAACGCCATAAACTAAAAGTGATACTGTATTCTAGAAAACAAATAATATTGAAATATTGCCACTTAACTATATTGATATTTGTATTTTTTTATGCATGTAACTGCTGGATGTTTAAATGTAAGGCAGAAAACCAGGCAGCAGACGGGACTCGAACCCGCACCCTTCGCTATTCGGGGGGATGCACTGACCATTATGCTACCGCGGCCCTGATGGCCGTTTCGAATTTTCTCTAGTATTTCTTAGGCTTTAAGGCAGCGCCATCTCTTCGCATCGTAGATAACCCACAATGTCAAATGAATACCTTTACAAGCATTAAACATTTGAAAGAAGAAATAGCAATTATATTTATATTTAATTTTGGGGGTCGAAGTCACTCGCGTCCGTAGGTTTACCCTGGAGACCCTACACGTGACCCCTGGGTGGTGCCAAACGAGTGACACTCGGAAGAGAGGTAGGGCTGAGTACTACTCCAAACTGAGCTGCCCGACTGGCGAAATACCTCCACCTGGCAGAAGTCTGCAGCCAAATATCACCTCGTGATGTGTACCTGCAGGTGAGCCTGGTCACCGGAGCTCTTCAAAGGAGTCGCTGAGCCGTCAACAGAGAGACCCGTGAAATCTCAAATCGCTTTTGAGTGCAACAAGCGTGGCGTATTGGCACGGCGGTCAGGGAGACCCGGTGAAACGGCTGACCGCTGGCCGCCCGCAAGCTGAACGGGTTCCCGAACCCAGGGATCGCGTAATCTCCGCCCTGGGAGTCCCTGAAGCAGTAGTCGTGCCGGAGGAGGAGACCGGAGTGGACCCGACTGCTGTGACAGGTGTGGACCGGGGGCCCTTCCGCCCGCCGTGCCAGCTTTCCACATAACTTGTCTTACTCTCTTGCGAAGTAATAGCACGATTGTCTCTTATGTTGATGGCTTAGTGATTTCTTTCTACCTTTCACACTTTTCTTATAATTATGGCCGGAACAAAAAGGAATAAGAGATACTCAGCGGCATCCTCTTCCACATTTAAAGTGGACTTTTGCAACATCGGAGGACTTCGTTCCGACATCAACGCAGTTCATCAGCATCTGGAATCTGCGCAGCCGGCCCTGTTATTCCTTACGGAGACACAAATATCCAGCCCGGCCGACGCATCCTACTTACACTACCCCGGTTACAAATTCGAGCATAATTTTGTACGGCGTGCCGGAGTTTGTATGTATGTCCGGGATGATATTTGTTGTCGCCGCCTTAATGGCCTTGAAGACGGAGACCTGTCAATCTTATTGGTACGTGTGGATTACGACGGCCACATCCGAATCTACGCTTGCCTCTACAGGTCTCACAGCGGTGACATGGACGCAACACGCATGTTTGACCACCTGCGAATGGCGACAGACAGAGCTCTTGAGCAGTACCCATCTGCGGAGTTAGTGATTTTGGGCGATTTCAATGCCCATCACAGTGACTGGCTTAGCTCTAAGACCGCTGACTTTGCGGGTAGATCTGCTCATAATTTTGCTTTGGCCTATGGACTCTCTCAGCTGGTACATTCTCCTACGAGAATACCGGACATACCATACGAGCTCTTTACTGGATCTACTGCTGACTACACATCCGGATGGCTATTGTATTTCAGTGGATGCGCCTCTCGGCTCATCAGACCACTGTCTTATCCGGACCCAAGTGCCATGTACGCAGAAAACATCACTCCGTGAAACTGGACGGCGACGCGTCTGGCACTATAAATCAGCAGACTGGGATGGACTGCGTGAATTTTACGCATCGTACCCATGGAGACAGCTCTGTTTCACATCAGATGATCCTGAACCCTGCGCTGCTGCCGTGACTGAGGCGATTCTAGCCGGTATGGAATGTTTCATACCAAACCCATTAGTTGCGCAGGGGACAAAGAAACGACCGTGGTTTAATCTGTCTTGCAGAGAAACTTTTCTGGCTAAGCAGACTGCGTATGAGGCTTGGACTACGGCTCGTACCAACAAGGATAACAACATCTCTGATGTAAAACGGAAATTTAATGCTGTTTCAAGATCCAGTAAACGAGCGATTGCCAAAGCAAAATTCGATTTTGTTAGCGGAGTTGGCGAGCGGCTCGCTAAACATCCTGCTGGAAGTCGAGCATTCTGGTCGCTTGCAAAAGCTGCAGAAGGGAATTTTTGTCAGTCGTCATTACCACCCCTCCGTGGGTCTGATGGTAACCTGGTCCACAGCGCAAAGGAGAAAGCCGATCTATTGGGTAATCTCTTTGCCTCAAACTCGACAATGAATGACGGAGACGCCGAACCACCTAATATCCCGTGGTGTGGTTATTCCATGCCGGATATTACTTTTACTCAACGTGGTGTCCGGCGGGAATTACTCTCTCTTGATATTCAGAAGTCGAGTGGGCCAGACGGCATTCCTGCGGGCGTGCTCAAGCGGTGTGCCCTTGAGTTGTGTCCAGTATTAACGCGCCTTTTCGCGATTTCTTACTCCTCTAGGAAAGTTCCAACTTCGTGGAAGATGGCCCATGTGCACCCTGTGCCAAAAAAGGGCGACAGATCCGACCCGTCGAATTACAGGCCAATAGCTATCACCTCCCTTCTCTCCAAGGTTATGGAGCGAGTGATTAATTCACAGCTCCTTAGATACCTAGAAGAGCACGAACTTATCAGTGACCGCCAATACGGTTTCCGTCACGGTCGCTCAACTGGTGACCTTCTAGTGTATCTAACGCACCGATGGGCTGAAGCCGTTGAGAGTCAAGGTGAGGCACTGGCTGTAAGTCTTGATATAGCGAAGGCGTTCGACCGGGTCTGGCATCGTAGTCTTCTATCGAAGTTACCTTCATACGGACTGCCCGAGGGTCTATGCGAATGGGTTGCTAGCTTTCTTTCCAACCGACGCATAAAAGCCGTAGTGGATGGTAGTTGCTCCAATAGCATGGAAATTAATGCTGGCGTCCCGCAAGGCTCGGTGTTGTCCCCTACTTTATTTCTACTGCATATCAATGATATGCTGTCAATTGACGGTGTTCATTGTTATGCAGATGACAGTACTGGGGACACCTGCTATTCCGGCCGCGCTAATATCCCTCGTTCCAAGGTGGAAGAAAATCGTGAAATACTTGTTTCCGAAGTCGAGAGCATTTTGACCAGAGTCTCCGAGTGGGGTGATAGTAACCTGGTTCAATTTAACCCTTTGAAGACACAAGTTTGCGCGTTCACCGCTAAGAAAACCCCTTTTACTGTAGTCCCTAAATTTCTGAACACATCTCTTAATATTACTAAAAGCATTGGGATCCTTGGTGTCGACATCTCCAGTGACGTGCAGTTCCGAACTCACTTAGAGGATAAGGTCAAGTTGGCATCTAAAAAGCTCGGCGTCCTCAACAGGGCGAAGCGGTACTTCACTGCACAGCATAGACTGTTGCTATATAAGTCACAGATTCGTCCTCACATGGAGTACTGCTGCCACCTTTGGGCCGGAGCACCCGAATACCAACTTGCACCTTTTGATTCGGTTCAAAGACGCGCTGCGAGGATCATCGATGATCCCAGGCTTACAAGCGGTATAGAACCTTTAAGTCTTAGAAGAGACTTTGCATCTTTATGTGTGTTCTACCCTACCGCTTGTACAATGGGATGTGTTCAGAAGAATTGTTTGACATGATGCCGACGGCGTCATTTTACCATCGCACCGCTCGTCATCGGCAGGGAGTTCATCCACATACTTTGGAACCACACTGGTCGCGTACAGTGCGCTTTCAGAGGCACTTTCTCCCACGCACGCTGAGGTTGTGGAACGAGCTTCCTGTATCGGTGTTCCCTAGAGACTACAATATGGGGTTCTTCAAGAAAGGTATAAAAAGGTTTTTGCAGGGTCGGCAACGCGGAAGTAACACCTCTGGTGTTGCAAACGTCTATAGGCTGCGGTAACCGCTTACCATCAGGCGGGCCGCATGCTGGTTTGCTACCTTAGTGGTATAAAAAAAAAAAAAAAAGAAATTTAGACTCACCTCAGATACCGGGTCACGTCCCGGCCGGCCACATCGACCCGCATGATGCTGTGGGGCATCACGAACCCCTCGTATATGTATATGGGGCACCGCGTGGGTCACTACACTATACAGTATAGGTAGACTCACCTCAGATACCGGGTCACGTCCCGGCCGGCCACATCGACCCGCATGATGCTGTGGGGCATCGCGAACCCCTCGTATATGTATATGGGGCACCGCGTGGGTCACTACACTATACAGTATAGGTAGACTCACCTCAGATACCGGGTCACGTCCCGGCCGGCCACATCGACCCGCATGATGCTGTGGGGCATCGCGAACCCCTCGTATATGTATATGGGGCACCGCGTGGGTCACTACACTATACAGTATAGGTAGACTCACCTCAGATACCGGGTCACGTCCCGGCCGGCCACATCGACCCGCATGATGCTGTGGGGCATCGCGAACCCCTCGTATATGTATATGGGGCACCGCGTGGGTCACTACACTATACAGTATAGGTAGACTCACCTCAGATACCGGGTCACGTCCCGGCCGGCCACATCGACCCGCATGATGCTGTGGGGCATCGCGAACCCCTCGTATATGTATATGGGGCACCGCGTGGGTCACTACACTATACAGTATAGGTAGACTCACCTCAGATACCGGGTCACGTCCCGGCCGGCCACATCGACCCGCATGATGCTGTGGGGCATCGCGAACCCCTCGTATATGTATATGGGGCACCGCGTGGGTCACTACACTATACAGTATAGGTAGACTCACCTCAGATACCGGGTCACGTCCCGGCCGGCCACATCGACCCGCATGATGCTGTGGGGCATCGCGAACCCCTCGTATATGTATATGGGGCACCGCGTGGGTCACTACACTATACAGTATAGGTAGACTCACCTCAGATACCGGGTCACGTCCCGGCCGGCCACATCGACCCGCATGATGCTGTGGGGCATCGCGAACCCCTCGTATATGTATATGGGGCACCGCGTGGGTCACTACACTATACAGTATAGGTAGACTCACCTCAGATACCGGGTCACGTCCCGGCCGGCCACATCGACCCGCATGATGCTGTGGGGCATCGCGAACCCCTCGTATATGTATATGGGGCACCGCGTGGGTCACTACACTATACAGTATAGGTAGACTCACCTCAGATACCGGGTCACGTCCCGGCCGGCCACATCGACCCGCATGATGCTGTGGGGCATCGCGAACCCCTCGTATATGTATATGGGGCACCGCGTGGGTCACTACACTATACAGTATAGGTAGACTCACCTCAGATACCGGGTCACGTCCCGGCCGGCCACATCGACCCGCATGATGCTGTGGGGCATCGCGAACCCCTCGTATATGTATATGGGGCACCGCGTGGGTCACTACACTATACAGTATAGGTAGACTCACCTCAGATACCGGGTCACGTCCCGGCCGGCCACATCGACCCGCATGATGCTGTGGGGCATCGCGAACCCCTCGTATATGTATATGGGGCACCGCGTGGGTCACTACACTATACAGTATAGGTAGACTCACCTCAGATACCGGGTCACGTCCCGGCCGGCCACATCGACCCGCATGATGCTGTGGGGCATCGCGAACCCCTCGTATATGTATATGGGGCACCGCGTGGGTCACTACACTATACAGTATAGGTAGACTCACCTCAGATACCGGGTCACGTCCCGGCCGGCCACATCGACCCGCATGATGCTGTGGGGCATCGCGAACCCCTCGTATATGTATATGGGGCACCGCGTGGGTCACTACACTATACAGTATAGGTAGACTCACCTCAGATACCGGGTCACGTCCCGGCCGGCCACATCGACCCGCATGATGCTGTGGGGCATCGCGAACCCCTCGTATATGTATATGGGGCACCGCGTGGGTCACTACACTATACAGTATAGGTAGACTCACCTCAGATACCGGGTCACGTCCCGGCCGGCCACATCGACCCGCATGATGCTGTGGGGCATCGCGAACCCCTCGTATATGTATATGGGGCACCGCGTGGGTCACTACACTATACAGTATAGGTAGACTCACCTCAGATACCGGGTCACGTCCCGGCCGGCCACATCGACCCGCATGATGCTGTGGGGCATCGCGAACCCCTCGTATATGGGCACCGCGTGGGTCACGCCGTCCCCGGAGTCCAGAACTACGCCCGTGGTGCGCCCCGTCGCGTATCTATAACAAATAAATCAATATATCACATAATCGACGACATCCATGACCAAGCGGTCAAGCTATTGCCTCTTCGAGAGGTCCCGGGTTCAAATCCCGATGGGAGTAGGTGTTTGTGTGATGAATATGAGCATTTGTACTCAAGTCATGGATGTTCAATATGTATTTATATAGGGTAAAATTGAATGTTTTAACGAAACTTCTGATTTTTTCTCTCATTTCTCCGTGCTTCGGAAGGCCCGTTAAGCCGTCGGTCCCGGCTGCATCTGCAGTCGTCAGCACCCACCAATCCGCACTGGGCCCGCGTGGTGGGCCATGGCCCAATCTCCCTATTCCATCCATAGGAAAGGCCTGTGCCCCAGCAATGGGTACATTAATGGACTGAAGATGAAATGCATTTTTAAAGCAATAAATGTGTTGAAAAATAATCATCATCATCAACAGCCCATCCTAGTCCACTGCTGGACACAGGCCTCTCCAATTGCACGCCACTCAGATCGATCTTGGGCTACTCGCATCCAGCTCCTGCCAGCCACCTTGCGCAATCGTCACTCCACCGTGCCTGAGGACGTCCCACACTACGTTTGCCTAGACGCGGTCTCCACTCCACAACTCGTCTACCCCAACCAATGCCGTCTTTGACCTATTGGAGGCCTTGGGCATATTAGGATAATGGGGCCCCTATGACCCCCGTTTGGTGATTTAACAGGAACTAGGGAATTTGTATTTGATCTGAGGGGGGGGGGGGGGCTGGGCACTTGCCCAAAGAGCCCATTGGGAAAGACGGGTCTGACCCCAATGGTTATCGGTTCTTCGGCAAATATGGCCAGCCCACTGCCACTTCAACTCGCTAATCCGGTGGGCTATGTCGGTATTACCTCATTCCTGACGCGATCCTTCAGAGAAACGCCTTATATATTAATTATATTAATATGAAATGTACAAGTATGTATGCGACTCACAAGCTGAGCACCGCCTGCATGGAGAGGAAGAGCGCCGGCACGTTGAAGGTCTCGAAGAACACTTCGGCCGCCTTCTCGCGGTTGCGGCGCGGGTTGAGCGGCGCCTCCGTCAGCAGCACCGGGTGCTCCTCCGAGAACGTGGACAGTTGGTCCTATAGGGAGAGGGTTTTCAGTTTTTAATGTCATCTTTCAATTGACTACAGTGCATGAAGCAAAACAGCGAAAAAAAATAGCCCTTGCTGAAGTTCTCGGTACAAGGTCTCCCGCCGTATATTTACGAACCGATGGCGTAGCGTTTGACTTTCACAAGAGCCTAGACTGAACTTTTCCGGTTTGGGGGGAGGAGGAGTCCCACATAATCCCGCCACCTACCCAGGGCGGGGTATGCGTAACGCATTTTCCCAACAATAAAAAATGGGTGCGTGTACTTATGTAGGCGCGTGAGAAGTTATCCTTCTTTGGCATCGTTTAAAATTAGTTTTTAATTGCATGCAAATAATTAATTACAATAAATTAATAAAAAGTCTGGAAAAGAACACAGTCAATAAAGTTCAGTTTTAATTTGAAAAAATAAATAAATAATCAAAATATTCAATTAAAATCGCTACTGAATATAATTTATTAGAACATATGTGATTTGCACTTGTATGAAACTCAAACACGTATTCCGAATATACAAACTAGAAACATGTAGATAAATATTATAAATATGAATACCTATAACTGTTACTTTATTACAAAAAATAAAGATGTGGTTTTTGGTTCTACTACACCAATGGTCAAGAGATGGCGCTGTCGTCTCCTGAATCGCGCTTTGGTTCCGTTGTTCCAGATAAATAAATACTTTTGATAGGCCTTCACAATGCAGTCGTTAGCACCCACTAAATAGAGATTCTATTTCTATTTTGTTGGTAGATTTTCTTAATGTGCGGTAAACACAAAAGTAACAGCATGAAGTTGGTCGCTAAAGTGACCAACTTCATGCTGTTAAAATTTTGTGTTACAGTGATGCGCGCGCATCTTAAAATTTCACTCTCATCATTTTTTCATAACGCGCCTAAAGAAGTATAACTTCAAAAAAAAAAGGTTGTAAGAGGGAGGGAACAAGGATGATGATTATAAGTGAATTGATACCGGTCTCACCTTACTGTATATGTAGTTCCAGACGCGCTCCATATCGTTCCAGTCGGTGACTATCCCGTGCTCCATGGGGTACTTGATGCTGAGCAGGCCGCGGTGCTCCTCGGCGCGCGGGCCCACGAACAACTCGCCCTCCAGGGCTCCGGCCATCACGCGCACGTGCTTGGGCCGACCGATGCTAACGTTCATGATTAAACCGTTCACATTATAATAATAATAATGCTTATTTTATTCTATTACAACGTTAAAGTTATTTTCTTAACTGCTTGGGGTTTTAAACTTTAAATTCATGCGGGCTTTTTAAACTTTACGGCTCTATATATAGGTCATTTCGCCAAGTTAATCTATGGTTAAACTTTTTAATACAAAAGTAGGCTAATAACTATCACAAAAACGGCTTTATAGTACCGTGGGTAGCGCGCCCCGATCGGGGCGTGCGGCGATCGACCGTGCGGTATTTTTCGAGCGCGCCCCGATCGGGGCGTGTGGTCTTTATTGAGACACATTTAGAAAATTTAAGCATTATTTTCACAAATTTCTTTGTGGTTCATGGAAGTCAAAAATTATTTATCCAAATTGAATGCACGATAGGACTCTTTTGGATCATCCATATTTTTTTCCTACCACCGTTTGAGCGAATTTTTTTAGCCATCGGGAAAAACGGGCGAAAAAACCTTCACAGCGTTAAATAAAAATGTAACAAATTGTTGTTATAAAACATAATATTGTGACTGGCCAAGTACAACAGCGGTGGGTAAAAGTTGTGGAAAAACAATATTCAGCAGCCAAATAAATTGCATAGTAAACTCATATGTGGTGTAATTCGGAAATGGATCAATTTTTTACTTTGAAACATGATGACCAAGGATAAATAAAGGTTGTGGGCTTGACTTCGCCTCAGGCCACATTTACCTATTCGTCCATCAATGCCCTTTTGCTGGCCAATGCAGTAATGTTCTATTAAGAGTGTTACTTAGAATAAAATACACCACCATCTCATCAAATATTTTGAAGCTAGAAAAAGCTTTGATGTGTTATTTATAGTCAGAGAATATCAAATTTATTGAAAATAGAAATATTTCTAGTTTCTTAGAAGCTGCCCCATGAACAAGTCGCCCTCCAGGAGCTCTATTTTTGAATCACTCGTCTTGCGTTGAACTCTCGATTTCTACTAAATTTCATTCGGCATAATTAATTCCGTATTTTTGAATCGCTCGAGTGCAACGAATGGGTGAGACCACTCGCTGCATGGCGAACAGTGGAGGCGAATGATAGAATAATTGTCAAATTTTTTGTGCTATTAAACGACGATAATCTATCATTGTCATGCTTTATGTGCGAGAATTTTTTTATCGTTTATCATTGTGTTAATTATCGGTTTTTATTTTTTCTGCGTGAAATGAGTAAAATTTTATATTTCGTATTAAACAGGTAACACCGGTGACGAAAGATTAAAAAATACGGAAAATCAGTATTATGCGACTTGAAAGTCGAAGGTGACTTATGTCGCATTCGACGATACAATGTCAGACGACTGATTCAAAAATAGAGCTCCAGGGCTCCAGCTCTCAAGAGAATGTGCTTGCGAAAATCAATGCTGAGTCAATTCAGTATTGAAGTGTTGTAAAACTCTTTAAAACAATTTGGTTGATAACTTGAGCCTCAGAAAACAGTTCATTGTTGGAAATCAGGAGGCTATGCGGTAGACCTCTTGGAAATCAGGAGGCTATGGGGTAGACCTCTTGGAAATCAGGAGGCTATGCGGTAGACCTCTTGGAAATCAGGAGGCTATGCGGTAGACCTCTTGGAAATCAGGAGGCTATGCGGTAGACCTCTTGGAAATCAGGAGGCTATGCGGTAGACCTCTTGGAAATCAGGAGGCCATGCGGTAGACCTCTTGGAAATCAGGAGGCTATGCGGTAGACCTCTTGGAAATCAGGAGGCTATGCGGTAGACCTCTTGGAAATCAGGAGGCTATGCGGTAGACCTCATGGAAATCAGGAGGCTATGCGGTAGACCTCTTGGAAATCAGGAGGCTATGCGGTAGACCTCTTGGAAATCAGGAGGCTATGCGGTAGACCTCATGGAAATCAGGAGGCTATTCGGTAGACCTCTTGGAAATCAGGAGGCTATGCGGTAGACCTCATGGAAATCAGGAGGCTATGCGGTAGACCTCTTGGAAATCAGGAGGCTATGCGGTAGACCTCTTGGAAATCAGATGTTATTTACTCTTAACAATCTTAGACCTATTGCTTCCACTGTAGCTACTGAAAGTAGCTTAGTTAATTGCGTCTGATCAATCTTTTTAGTCTGAATCTTTATAACACATCTCGGGAAAATCTGAAGCGTTCGGTAATTCAGCACAGTTCAGTCTGATGTAAATCTGTTTGTTCAGAGTATTTGGGCCAATGAGGATGATTAATCTGGTTATCTGTCATGTCGCAAGGTTAGTTTCTGTTTGAGGTTAAAAATTATTCTATGGTTGGTTGGGCCGTTTGTATGACCAAAAATCCGTCGCCTCTGCGATGCTAAAGTCCCAATACAAAATTCTGCCCCATTCATGTATCACATATTTGTGTTTTTTGTTATAAATATAATAATTTACAATATAATAGAAGCTGCAGGCAGAAACTGGTTGAGTCTCGGCTCAGAGGATTGGAAGAAGATAGAGGCTTTTAACCATAAGGCATTCATTGAAAACATAAAAATACTTAACTAATAAATGTATTTTTACTATGTATATATAACTAGTACTTTGTAATGGAATAAAATAAGCTTTATTATAATTATACACAATGTAACATAGCTTAAATTCAGTTTTAAAGCTTGTTATTGTTTTGACCTGACAGGACTCGTATTTATTTACCTTATAAGTATTTCTTAATGATATGAAATACAAAATAACTATTCAGACTCTTAAAGAAAGGAGATACAATTGTGAATACAGTATCAGGGCTGGTAACCGGTATCAAAAATACCAGTAAATAAAGGTTAATACAGGTTTTAGTAAAGGTTTCGTTCGGAGTGCGTACGAAAGAAACAGTACCAAAAACCTTAATAAACCGGTTTAATCCAGAGCGGCACGTGCACACGTCGGCATCGCTTGAAGTTTGTTTTGTTTGAACTAATCAAGTCACAACTTGTTAATTCTCAGAGATTAATGCATTTATTGACACGTTTGCTAGCATCTAGTGAGTCAAGTTAATCATTTTGTAGTTGTGTACTGACATACACCTTCACTCACTCGCTCAGTAGTTGGTAAGAAACTGACATAAAATCATTATAAATTTGAATTGAAACGACGAAGGCGATGCCGTCAGTAACAGTGAAATGAAACCCTTTAAAAACCGCTAAATTGATTCAGAACCTATTTGATTTTGCTTTTTAGGAAAACCGTTTTTTTTTAAGGTTAAGTTAGAGCCAAACCTAAATAAGACGCTCCTAATGTACTTGACACTGATTTAGGTTTGAAAATTAACCGGTAAACAAGCCCTGTAAAGTATTAACTTTGGAAGATCTTTAAAACTAATGCTTGGAGATAATATAAAGGATTTTGAATACACAAATTGCCTGTTTACCATAAGTATTCGAGGTACTTAATTCCATTATATGTAATTGAATTTCGGGGTAATTTGTAGGGGAGGGGGAGGGGGGGCACCTCCCGACCCCCCCGCCATAAAAGATTTTTGGCGGAAATGCAGTTTTTTTTACCTAACCTAAAAATTCATTAAATCTGTTAAATGTAGTGGAATTTCAGGGGGATAGGTATTAGGGAAGACCCCTCAGAGGGAAGGGTAACCCCCCCCCCCCCTCCCGGCGTTTTTTTACAGAAATGATATTTATAAAAAATTAGAGGGGTTTTAAAGGTAAAACTGTACTTCCAGAGCCTAGAGGTGATATTTGATTTTTTTTGTAGAAAAAGTCTCTATTAACGAATTTTTCTTTCTGGCGCTTCGCTCGCTCGGCTCGCGCGTTAAGGTCACAACACTAACCTAACCTAACCTAGTGTGAAGTATCACCACACAAGCGGCTCATTAAGAGTCCAAAACTCGCACTACACTCGACTCTTCAGGCGAAGGGACAGCAGAACTCGAGGCCGAAGGCTTTGAGGATGCCATGGTAGTCAGACGATGTTAATATCAACAGGAATACGAAAAAGCTCTCAACTGCGACGAACACAAACACTGACTGACAGATCTCATTAATGGCGGTAAATTGTCACATTTTGACAATAGTACCAACATAATAAACTTATATTTACCATAGACAACGAGAAACATGTTATTTTTGCATAAAAAAATGGCAGCACTGATCAAAATTGCTGTCAAAATTGACTCATAACCTACAAAAATATTAATTTTCAATAATTTTTTTCTCGAGTTCTATTCGTTTCCGCCTAAAAAGATTTCGTGTACGTGTTTTTAATAGTTAATACCTTGCGTGACAAAAATTTCAGCTTGCAACTCAATTACATATAATGGAAAGGTGAGCCGTATTCGATATCCGGTCAACACATATCATGGAATGATCTAATATACCCACTGCACAAGATTAATAGAAAGTATGGTAGGTACTTACTAATTTGGGAAGCGACATTTTGGTATCTGGTCGCCAGCAAATCCTGCTTTAATCACACCAGAGCCCTGAAAGTTGCCGGTAAAACAGATTTTAATGCTTAATTTATGCTCAACACACGTCAAGCTCATGCATGAGTCATTTCGGTCGATCGGTCACAAAAAAACGGAACATCTAACCTTGTTTCAAAACATAATTTATTGACAAATACAAGAGAAAGAATTGACCTAATTCAAACTGCATTATATTATTGGTTTCAATTGATTTTTACACCAAAATTAGGTGTGCCAACAAGAAAATTATAACATTATTGAAATAAATACGATGATTACATTGTCTATAACCACGGGTTGATTCACTATAACGTCGTTCAGCTCCATATTTGATAAATTATGAATTTCTATGCGCTAATTTACTAAAATTTTAAAATATTTTGCAGTATCCTAAACATTCAGACAGCTTTCAGATATTCAGTTTTTTTTTTTCAGAATGACATCAGTTTAATAGTTCTAATATTTTCCCTATATGAATAGAGCAAATGATTCTTTGTTCATTCAGCCAAATCTTTACTATAAGTTAAAATGTTTCCATTGTTTATGTTACGTATTTATTATAACTAATTATGACAACCAAGTTAGCTTCTTCAAAAAAACTCATAAGTTGGGATTTTACAAGCTACTTCAATAAATTATTGATGCATGCCTAGATTTCTCTCCCATAAATGATACTTTATTTTATCTTTCCATCGACGCTAAACCTGAATGTCAAATCCTATATCTTCACAATAAAAAAAAAGAAAAGAAATTTCATTGTTTCTTTTTTTAAGATTTTCCCTTTTTAGGGAAGGCAAAGGAAATAATGCCCATACAGCCTAGTCTGAAGTTATATTAATCTTCTTTTTTTACATTAGGATATTGTCGGTGTGACGCATTCTAATGTTTCTTAGAATGTTTGGCATGAAATTTATCGAGTTGACTTTTTCGGTAAGCTTCTGTGAGGTACTTAGCCAAAACTACAATAAAGTTCTCACCTCCACTTGACCGGAATAGCGTATATTTAAAAGATTCCACTAATTCTTCAGTTGCGCGGACGGTTGTTACACGAAATCACACCAATTTTATTTCACAATATCCATAATAATTAAAATAAGACGCCAACCGCACTCGATGAAAGCGCGAAAAAAAACTTTTGTTTCTTGTTGTTGTTGCTCTATTTGGGGAGTCCGGTTAATGTACAGCCACGGAAAGCACAGCCATGGATCAGTTGGTTTGGTTTGGTTGTTTGGTCTTGCGGAATTGGAAGCCAAGTTCCTGAATTCCATGGCTGTACAATATCGAATCGCGTAAATTACTGACACGTGCTGTGCCGTGAAAAGCACAGCCAAGAATGTACAACCATGGAATTGGAGGTCATGTACATAAATTCCATGGCCGGGCATTCCGTGCATTACCACCCGATTTGGGGAAGAGCTTTTGGCGAGATATTATCGAGTGTGGTTGGCGTCTTATTCTAATTATTCTTAAATTCGGTTATATTGGATATTGCGAAATAAATTTGATGTGATTTTGTGTTACAACCGTCTGCGCAAATGAAGAATTACTTGAATCTTTAAAATATACGCTATTTCAGTCAAGTGGACGTAAGAACTTTATTGTAGGGTTCACTACCTCACATAAGCTTATCGAAAAAGTCAACTCGATACATTTTGTGCAAAACACTCCTAGAAATATTAGAATGCGTCACACCGACATTCTAATGTAAATAAAAAAAGATTATTAAAACTTAAGATCTGGCTGTATGGGTATTGTTCCCTTTACCTCCCCTGAAAAGGGAGAATCTCACAACCGATTTTGGGGAATTCTGTACTTTACGTGAAAATAAAAATATATAATGATTTTTCTCAATCTTTTCATAATAAACTTACTAACTACTGCTGCGGAGCCAAACTCGGATATCGGTTTCTGTGATGCTTCTTCCAGGAACTGCGAAAATCTAGTTAAGGAAACCAGTGTATATAAACAAATTTTTTACGATGTGAATCCCCCTGAAGGCTTTAATTTACGCCGTGATGTTTACATGAGGTTTGCCATAATGTTATCAGATGCTCGCAAACGGGGTAGAGTCGACTGGAGGCTGGTTTTACCGCCATGGCATAATTTGTATCATTGGCGCTCATCATCGGCGAAGTCCAAGCAACAACCCTGGTCCTCGTATTTCGACATCGAATCTTTGAAGTCCTTCGCACCGGTAATGGAATTACACGAAGTTTTTTCCGAAATCAACTCTAATGTTCTTAAAATCGATACATTGTATGTACTTGAAAACTTTGAGGATCCCTTCGAGAACGGGGTTTTTCAGGATAAATGGCAGCTGAGCAGTGGATGTGTGTACGTAGGCAATTATTTTGGATATAAAAACATTACTGCCACGGAAACGGTATGTGTCAAATTCCAAGGACCTATCTCCAAACTGTGGGAGCTTATATTGCAACACCCGACCGATAGAAGAGTCATGATCGCCCATGGAGAAATACCGCTACACGATAACTATGGTACCAAGACTTATTGGCAATGTCGTAAGAGTATGAAGTTCAACAAAAATCTCATTCAAATAGCTAAAAACTTTATGTTCAACAGTCTCAAATGTAAAACTGATAAATGTTCAACTTATTTGAGTGTGCACTGGAGACGCAAAGACTTTGCTTATAGCAGGCCAAATGATGTGCCGTCGATAGCAAATACAGTTAAGCAAATAGATGGTGCGGTGAAAAATAAATTTCTCAATGTAAAAAAAATCTTTATTGCATCTGATGCATCTTCGAATGAATTAAAAGCACTAGACGAGCAACTTCACAATTTGAATTATGAAGTTTACAGGTTTACCGCTACTAAAGATGCACTGAAAGAATTGAATGATGGTGAAGTTGCCATAATTGATCAAATAATATGCTCTCATGCTGCCTATTTCATAGGAACACATGAGAGCACATTCTCTTTCCGAATTCAAGAGGAGAGAGAAATATTAGGATTTGATAGTGATACTACTTTTAACAGGTTATGTCCTGATTCAGGACCATGTGAAAAACCATCAAAATGGACATTGATAGAATAGGTTTAGTTTTATAAGAACAACTTATTAAAGTTGTTGTCAAACGTTTTTAAAAAGAATTGTATGTAAGTACAGTGTAGGTATACATTCATGTAATCAAGCACTTAATAGCATTATAATTTATTATCTGGATTGAGACAAAGATACATTACTTTTTTGTTTAAAAATGTTAGGTTTCTGTGGAATTCTCTAAAAGCTAACTATAACGCGGTTGTAGTCGCGGAAAAGAAAACTTTTACGCGTTCGGTTTGAGTTGGCAGCTCCCACCTTGATCGCACCGCGCGCCTAGACAGACCCCTATGCCCTTATTAGTCGACCGTACAGTACGCGCCACGAAAGACTTGACGAGCGCGTTGCCGCACCTCCCACGCTCTCCGGCACCCTATGGCGCCCGGGCCCTCCCCCGTCAGACCTCATACCGCTAAAGAGACCTTTAAATCGTCTACTGCGGATGTCAAATCACGTGGCGCGTCAAGTCTCATCTTTCGTGGGGCGTCCAGTCTCATCTTTCGTGGCGCGTATTGTACCAGTTGATTTGCCTATGAATAATTTTGTAATGGCCATAAACCAACTCGAAGCGAACTACTGTATTTGCGGTCGCCCTGGCAACCCCGGAAGAACGCTGGTTCCATTCCATCCTCGCGGGCGGAAGGCAAAACTGATTGCTAATAAAAGAACTTTCTTTAGATAATGAAAGTAGTTATGTACTTATAACGAATCTCCGGCTAACTAGTCATCAATCTCCTACTGTAAATATGTACAAAAACTTACCTATTTAACCAAAGATATTGTTACTAATATAATTATACAGACTTTATTTAATAAAACGCCTACCCGTTATGAACACCCGTATTCTTTTAAATACCTATAACTACAAGACCTTGAAACTTAACTATACATATCATTAAACGAGTGTTGCTGCAGGGTTGTAGTCAGAGCTGTATTTAAAATAAAGCACAAGTTTAAGCAGGGCCCTGCCTGCCGCTTTTCTGTCTGCCGCCCCGGTTTAAGGGTGCGGCCAGAGTGCACTCAGATTCAGATTCAGATTCAGATTTCGAAAACAAGCGCGAGAAATAAACAGTGTAGTCGAAGGGTACGGCCAGAGTGCACTCCTGATTCAGATTCAGACTCAGAAAACAAAGCGCGAGAAAAAGCAGGCAACCTGCTTAGACTACACTGTTTATTTCTCGCGCTTGTTTTCAGAATCTGAATCTGAATCTGAGTGCACTCTGGCCGCACCCTACGGTGTGGTAAATACCATTGCATTTGAAAGTAGGACATTGCCCCATAGTGCTCCCCTCCCTCAAACTAAGAACTGGTACAGCACAACATTCCCGTATGAATTGGAGCTCCTGTCAGACCATGGCCGCCTCTGCAAGCGAAGTATGGCGGTGCTCACACACAGCTGCCAACGCCAAGGCTATAACTATAAGGGTGCCAGCTGGGTGAACAGCGCCCAATTTATCAGAGAAACTATTTTTCTTTTACCACAACATATACTACCGTCGTGTAAAAAGGACTCTCTTCACAGATTTCCGATACGGGCGCTCGCTGCCGAAGGTGCGTAACCCTGGGTATGATAATTAAACTTACTTTAATATATCTTTAATCAAAGTCCGTGAATATAAATGGAATTATGATCCACTTGTACCACATAAAAATATCGTTCAAACATTTAAATTAATGGCGACATAGATAATGGTGTTGATTCTAGCACGATTCTCTAAATCTAAACTTAAATTTGACAACAGTGTATCCTTGTCATTCTCTATACATAATGAAAAGGAGAGACTGATGTTAAATTTAGTTTTAAGTTTAGAGAATCACGCCAGAATCGACACCAATATTCGATAAACTGATTATTTGATAAACCTGCATGTTTAAATTAATCACAATTAGTTACGGAAATCACGTACTTTTTGATACAATATCTAGTAAAAAATCACGGGATACATTCAAATAGATCGTTCCGTGTTGTATATATTCTTACAGATTGTTGTTAATAAATATTGTGAAATAAAATTGGTGTGATTTTGTGTTACAATACAACCATCTGCGCAACTGAAGATTTAGTGAAATCTTTAAAATATTATACGCTATTCCGGTCAAGTGGACGTGAGAACTTTATTGTAGTGTTGACTATTTCACAGAAGCTTAATGAAAAAACCAACTCGATACATTTCGTGCCAAACACTCCAAGATTCATAAGAATGCGTCACAGCGACATTCTAATGTAAAAAAAAATGTGTGCGTGTACTAGTGTACACACGTAAGAAGTGAAACTTCTTTATGGCCTTATTTTTCGAAAAATGATCTACATGCAACTTTCCAGAAATTGGTTAAATAAAGTTAAATTAGATAAAGCTGAGTGAGTACCGCTGAGCGAGTACCGCTGAGAGAGTATCGCTATGCGAGTTTGGCTGAGCGAGTCTTATCTTTAATAACTATTGTCACTCAGCTACAAACGAGTAGAGAGAGTTCTCACCGGCGACAGTGTGATCATTCAGCTATCAACTATTAATATAAAGAAAATGTGTGCGTGTACTAGTGTACACACGTAAGAAGTGAAACTTCTTTATGGCCTTATTTTTCGAAAAATGATCTACATGCAACTTTCCAGAAATTGGTTAAATAAAGTTAAATTAGATAAAGTTTAAACAAAAGGATTTTATTATCATAGACATGAATACAAATTACTGCCTATGAAACTGTTATGATTACACGGCTCAGTAATCTAAGGCACATGTTCCACCTCCGACGATGAACGATAAGCGAGTAGAAACTAGAAACGAATTGGCAGTCCTGAGTTAAAATGCACGCGCACGGCTTTTGACAGCCAAGCCAGCTTAACCGAGCGAGTATAGCTGAGCGAGTATCGCTGAGCTAGTATCGCTGAGCGAGTATCGCTGGGCGACAATCGCTGAGCGAGTATTGCTGAGCGAGTGCCGCTGAGCGAGTACCGCTGAGCGAGTATCGCTGAGCGAGTACCGCTGAGCGAGTATCGCTATGCGAGTTTGGCTGAGCGAGTCTTATCTTTAATAACTATTGTCACTCAGCTACAAACGAGTAGAGAGAGTTCTCGCCGGCGACAGTGTGATCATTCAGCTATCAACTATTAATATAAAAAAAATTGCGCGTAACGGAAAAATGTGACGCGTAACCGAAAAATGTGACGGTAAATTTTTTTCCAACGCCGATAAAGAAGTTTCACTTCAAAAAAGATGGCGCGTAACGGAAAAATGTGACGCGTAACCGAAAAATGTGACGGTAAATTTTTTTCCAACGCCGATAAAGAAGTTTCACTTCAAAAAGAAGATTAACAATTGTATTTATGTATACGACTGCAGGACTTGTACGGTACAAGTTGTACCCATGGTCATGAATAATTAAAAAAAAGACAATCAAATCAAAACACTCCATTTTTGAAGTTATACTTCTTTAGGCGCGTTAAAAAAAAATTATGAGCCCGCACCGTACGCATGCGCGGCCACTCGCGGTCCTAGCGTGGGAAACACGTACAACAAACATCGGGAAAAGTTACGAGTTTTGAATTTAGAACAGAGACTATTTTCATATCTTTAAATAAAAAAATGAAACCCGTTTTCCGTTGTCACGACATAACATGAAAACGGCTTGACCGATTTGGCTGTTTTTTTTTTGTAGTTTTCTAATACTCTGTACAAGGTTCTTACGGAAAAAAATATAAAGAAAATCCCAAGGGGATAAAATAAGGAATGAAAGTTTGTATGAAACTTTATCAATTTTAAACCGATCGGGCTGAGACTTTGCATGCAGGTATAAGAAGAATCATAGATGAATGTCATTGTGTATAATACAAGCCTGAGAACAAAAACTGTAGTCTACACTTCAGCTCTACACCGAAGCGAAGCGAGGGCGGGCCGCTAGTTTATAATATTTATCCACATGTTTCTAGTTTGTATATTCGGAATACGTGTTTGAGTTTCATACAAGTGCAAATCACATATGTTCTAATAAATTATATTCAGTAGCGATTTTAATTGAATATTTTGATTATTTATTTATTTTTTCAAATTAAAACTGAACTTTATTGACTGTGTCCTTTTCCAGACTTTTTATTAATTTATTGTAATTAATTATTTGCATGCAATTAAAAACTAATTTTAAACGATGCCAAAGAAGGATAACTTCTCACGCGCCTACTTATGTACACGCACCCATTTTTTTTTTTTCAAAAAACACAAAACTAAAAGTACGTCATGAATGACAGAAGACAACAATACCCAGAACCCCGCAGCACTTCACCCTGGCCATATCCGTCAAACATCCATGCAGCATCTCCATCATACTACGATCATACTACAAAGAACGAAAAAGATGAAGCACCAAATTCGACAACAACTTTGTCCATGGTGATGAGCCATACAAACACATTGATACCCATAGGTCGTAGAGAGAGAATACGCCTTTGTACATCACTTAAGGTGAGACTGTAACAAAATATATTATATATACATATTTTTATATTTCCAACACTCACACCAATTAGCCTCTAGCCCCGAAGTAAGCACTGATGTCGATTCTGGCATGATTCTCTAAAGCTAAACTTAATTTTTTTTTTTTTTTTTTTTTTTTTTTTTTTTTTATAGATAGGTCCGACAAATGACTCCACCCCACCTGATGTTAAGTGAAGGTGAAGTCCAGACGTGACGATAGCTGATACAGCAGTTTTACCTGCCACACCAGCCATCTTCACCCTGCCGGCCTGCATGTTGCTTCTTCACGCCTCTTTTAAAGGATCCCAGGTTGTAAGAGGGAGGGAACACGTGAGCGGGCAGAGCATTCCATTTACGGATAGTGCGACAAAGAAATGAGTCACCAAATTTCTTTGTACGCGTTGGAATTGTGGCCACAGTTAGACGATGACAACGTAGGCCAGCGCGCGTGGTCCTCTGAAGGAAAGGAGAAGGTGGGATAAGAGAGAATAACTCCTCAGAACACTCGCCGTGGTACAGACGATAGAACGCGCTTAGTGACGCCACGTCACGGCGTAATTGAAGAGGCTCAAGGTGTTTAGTCACCTCCTCATCGCCTATGATGCGGATCGCGCGTCGCTGTAACCTATCCAAAGCATCGAGCAAGTACTTGGCGGAGCCATCCCAGAGGTGCGAGCAATATTCCACGCAGGACCGCACTTGCGTTTTGTACAACAAGCACAGTTGATCGGGCGTGAAAAAACGCCGCACCTTGTTCAGGACTCCGAGTTTGCGTGAAGCTGTTTTGATCACGGTTTCGATGTAGTTCTTTGGATTCAGGTCTGAGCGAACTTCCATACCGAGCATAGAAATGTTGCTCTGCAGCGGTAGTGTTGTGCCCTGAAGAGATGGAAGGGGAAGGAATGACGATGTTTTTGCCGTGAAGGCGCAAGCCTGAGTTTTTTTGGCATTGAACTCAACCAAGTTCCTGGTACCCCATTCGGAAATGTGGTCCAAAACCTGATTGAGTTCAATGACAAGATTCTCGCGTTTCTCCTTGGTTACCGCCAGCCCAGCCGCTGCTTGTCCGAGATACCCCGCATGCACTGTACTATCGTCTGCATAGCAATGAATATTCCCAAGAGGAATTAAGTCATTGATATGCAGCAGAAAGAGAGTGGGGGATAGGACGGAGCCCTGGGGAACGCCGGCATTCACTGACATGAACCGCGAACTGCTACCATCCGTAAGGACACGAATTCTACGCTCATGCAGGAAGTCAGCTACCCAAGAACAGAACTGGGCTGGCAGACCGTATGCCGGAAGCTTGGAGAGAAGGCTTTTGTGCCAGACCCTGTCAAACGCCTTGGCAATGTCAAGGCTGATAGCCAA